TCGCAATAATACTTTAATTTAGATGTTCTATCGAGGAAAATAATAATATTTCGCTAATTTGGCCTCTAAATAGCATTTTTAGAATATCACGTGATTATGAGCTTGGGCTACCTGTGGACAATTTGTGACTGATAAGCAACGACAATGAAGGAAAATAAGAAGCCCGAAACTTAAACTCGCGGTTCCACAGGAACCCCGAGTAAAAAGCGGGCCATACTTTCCCGTACGGACCAGATGAAACGAGAAAAAACGTTTTTCGTCTTAAAAAGGCTCGCTTTCTCTCTTTTTGTAGTTGTACTGTATAAAAAAGAGTCAAAAATGAATCCAAATTTTGCCATCAAGGTTTCTCAGGCTTTTCTTTTTTCCTTCTATTTTGAATGGCAAGAAACGTACGAACAAAAACGACGTATTTTTATGTCCGATTCTCTAGTAATTTTACTATTTTTCCCTGAAAATGCTATATAATAAATATCTTATTAACCTCGCTTGCTCGAGCCGTACGGGAAGTTATGGAACCTCGTTTTTTTTTCACTTTTTATGGCCCTTGTGCTACGCGCTCTGGCCATAAGTCAGTGGGAAAAAACTCGGTCCATAACTTCCCGTACGGCCCTCGCGCTCGGTTAATAAGATATTATTATTTACCAGCACGTGATTATTACTGAATGCCGTTGCATAAATGTCAAACAAATTCAGGTCCACTCAAGTGAATTGAACTCATGGCTTAATGATTAGGTTTAGCGAAGGGTTATACATAGGGTTATGGTAATAATCTTAATGCTCGTTTTTTTAATATTTTCAGTTTAAGTTTACATATTTGAAAATTATCTAAGTTCTTCTTTGCATATTTGGGACATGAGAGCCTTCTGTGTATGCATCGGCTGCGTGTACATGCTCAACCATATATGGAAGTCATATATGACAGACCCTTCTCACAATTTCAATGTGTGTCTCCTTTTTTTCTACAATACTCCAGTTTCGAATTCATAGCGAAAAACCGCTGCTTTATTTGACAACAGATTCTCTTGCGCAAAGACCTGACCAAACACAAAAGAGAACACGAAAAAATGTCGTCATTACAATAGCCTTGAAAATTTGCATTTTCCCCAAGTTGAGACTAACCCTGTATTCCCATAAGACYTAAGKTATGRGCCTTCTGGGAATACAGGGTTAGCCTCAACTCAGGTAAAATGTAAATTGTCAGCGCTATTGTACTTACAACATTTTCTCGTGYTTTCTTTTGTGTTTGGTAAGTTCCTTGCGTAATTGAATCTGCTGTCAAATAAAACAGCGGTTATTCGCTTGGAATTCGAAAATGGACTATTATACAAACCATAGAGATACAGTAAAAACCCGCGTATAAAAACACCTATTTTGGTGGTTCAAGCTGATTTGGTTGTTATATATATGGTTATAATCTGCAAAATCAGGCTGTAAGTGTTCTTAATTGTTCTTAAAAAGAGTTTTCAATACATAGAGAAGACATAGTTTTGTTTTGTTTAATATTTTGTTACATATAATTAGGGTGGAACTACTATGTACGTAATATATACAATATGAGCGGCCGATCTGTATTGGGAAATTGTATTGGGAAATTGTGTTCCCAATACAGATCGGACGCGAATATTGTATATGACTTATGATATCCATCATTAAGCACCTAAAGTTATTATTTCTTAACAATAGATAAAAGCTAAAATGTGTTGTTTCTTAGTAATAATAGAAATATACACAGCTCGTTAAACGTATTACAAAAGACATTGTTACATCGAACCCGTTCTACAATGGTGTTATGTAACCATAGCTAGGTAATGAAGCAGCTATTGTTTTCTTTTCCACGGACCGTATGTCGCATAATTTTTGCCTTCAGTTAGCATTCATCATGCACTCAGAACAAGCTCGAGAATTATGGCTAACTTTAGAAAACCAAAAGACAAGAACGAAGACGAAAATTGGCTGCAGGATTCTTATAACATCTAATACCAAACATACCATAAAATGAAGTGAATTTTTCACGAGTGGCAACAAGCAAGGGAAGAAAATYAACACTCAGTAACAAACGAGAGCGTTGGGTTTGGCTGTGATATCGATAATGTGCAAAATCTTGACAAGAAGCTGAAGGAAATGACACCAACTACGTTGAACTCCCTAAAAATTATTGGTTAACAAAGTTCGTCGGAGAGTTATTGCCAACAAGAGTGGCGTACAATATTTATCATTATTATATGGCTTAGATAGTACGCGCGCTCTGATTGGCTGTTGACAGATAATGACCGGTCGATATTTTCCTGTAATGCCCGCTCACAGCGGTCATTATTTTTCGCGATTAGACCAGCTTTGACTTTGAGTAAGACGAAGAAAAAACACACAATTTGAAACACATTGCAAAACAAAGATATCCTTTTAGTTCGTTTACGAAAAAAATAAATGTTTGAAAATGTTTTATTTGCAAAATGAGAGACAACGAAAGCTACAGTCAAAGTGAATTTATTTTACATGTAAGTTTTTGACGAGATTAGTGCGAAAGYCGACAAAATGGCTACCAAACAGACGAAAACCATTATATTTTTAGTACCAAACCGACRAAAATGACCAAAATCATTATATTTTTAGTAATTGTCTGCAAAAATGCGGGAATAATGGCTCCTTATTTCATAGATTCAGTTAATTTTCATGGAGCTAACATCAGCAAAATATCCGATTGTCCGTTCAAAATTTTCAAAGGGACAGTCAAGATCCAACAACGGAAAAATCGAGAGTGACGATGAAAATTGAACATTCGCTAAAATCACTGCAAGGTCTGCACGTGTTGACGTTTTCAATCGTCTTAATTTTGACGTACTTTCCAACTATTTTTACAAACTTTTGGATGTTCTGAAACTTTTTAAGCTAAATTACCGTGTTTTGTGGAATAAAAACGGTTTTGTGACATAAATTGTGCTATATTAAACACATTTTCAAACAAATTGTTGTATTTTTTCGGCACTGGACATGACATTGAATGAACAAATGCGCGCGCAAGAGGAAGTGTTAAATCACTTCCGTTCTTTTATTTTGCTCACGTTATATWTTTTATATTTTTTTTATTAAGAGAGCCATATAATAAATAACTTATTAACCTCGTCCGTTCGGTCATTACAGGGAAATCTCAGACCTCGGTCTTGTTTGTATGGACCTCGCTGTCGCTCGGTCCATACTTCCAAGACCTCGGTCTGAGATTTCCCTGTAATGACCTCACTCTCGGTTAATAAGTAGTATAAATCTATATTTGTGATTGTTCAGTTTCCGGCCTTAACAGGCTTCTACAAAACGTAAAGGCGGAAAATTCATTTAACCTCCTCAAGAAGAATGATCGTAAATGTAAATACGTGCAATTTTGACTATTCATTTTGCTAGATCGATTCTATCAGCATTTTATACTTTTTTCTATAGCAGGCTAACAGATCTATTACTATTCTATATAAAAATACAGAATACTTATAGATCTATTATTATTCTGTATTTTTATATAGAATACTAATAGATCATATTTTCTACTGTTATTATTCATCAACCCCACCCTTTCCCTGCTCTGAATTCAAGCCCTTCCCGCGCTTTAAGTTTGTATTGGTGAATACAAGGGTAGTCATGTGACTACAATAACGGTCACTGAATGGCTGTGTAACTTATGAATTATTAATGAATATTATAAGTGCAATGAGAAGTAACGTTGATCTCTATTTTTCTATATAAGAACAACTTTCATTTTTTAGGCTGTGTTCTTATATATATGGTACTTTCTTTCCTGGTGTTCTTAATGCACTTGTTCTTGACGCGGGTTTTTACTGTAGTCTCAAAGAAACTACGGGAAGCGCTTGCTCTTTTGCGTCAGAAATTCTTGAATACTGATAAATGAGACCGGCTGCTGTTGAGTATGCACCTAACTGAAAACAACACGTTGTCAGGTTCACAAAGGTGACATCATCAAAGTTAAGAGTTACATAGAGTATGGGAAGGCAGATTTTTAACTGTGTTTCAGTTCCCAAATACTGTCCGCATTAATGTCCCCTTCTGTCTTTGATTTCACCTTTTTAAACCCGGCAATGTTTTTTGCAATTAGATGTATAGGAATGAGACTAATTCAGTGCATCTTTTGTGAAATTCTGGCTGTTAAATTATGCAGTGTGTATGCAGTGTGTGTCATCAACTGGGGACGGGATCTCCACAGCGACCTGAGTGATCTCCACAGCGACCTCAATACTCTTCCCAGCGATCTCTTCACAACTGGCCGATGTTAGGTCATGGTCTTCTAATCAGAAAAGTAAATACACAAATTACTAATGTGATATAGTAGTGGTTTGTACCTTGATTATTCATAAAAACTGATATTAGCGTTGATATATTAATTAATAGCTTTAGTTTATAGATAATGACAAAATTTATTTCACCTGCTCGGTCGTCAACTTTCGATTTCGTCTCCACAGTGACCTCTTTGATCTCCGCAGCGACCTCCGCAGTGATCTCTTCATGGTCTTCTAATCAGAAAAGTAAATACACAGATTACTTATGTGATTTATAATATAGCTTAGATAGTACGCGCGCTCCGATTGGCTGAAAGAAACCTATTTCTCCGGTGAAGTCACGGGTCGTTCCCTTCTAGTGATAAAAACAACAACATTACTCTCAATTTCTAGCGCTTTTGGTCTACAGTTTTTCGTTGTCGGTAATCTGAATATGGATTATCCGATATTTAAAATTTATATGGAAGTCAAAGTAAAAGATAACCAGGAAGATTTTCAAGAAAAAAGAGCAAAAAAAAGTTCGTTTTTCAGAAGCTACAAGCCCTCTTCATCTCAACTACACGAATGTAGTAACGTCTTGGCTCAAGCCCTTGGGGAAGTAAATTCTGCTGACGATCAGGCGCAAGAAGAACCACAAGCCTCAGGTTTATCTCTCACAACGACAGTTGTCAGCTATGTATTGAACTCGGGGACCCACAAAACAACAACAAAGATATCTCGCTGTTTAGCGGTTGGAAAGTAGAGAACGTCTACATTACCCTGCGAGCAGAGTGTATTTCCTTACCTCAATAAAAATTCGCGAAGGAAAATAACACTCTGCCGAAACCTTGTAATTTCTTTGATCTGCCGATAGCCCAAGAGTTGGGGCTAGTCAAGACCGGTTTTTCCTCAGTCAAACTGGTTTTTCTGCGCGCTTCTGAATAAATGCATTGATCCGGTGACCAAAACTGAGCCCACAAGCATAATAAATGGCGTCTATCATTCAACACTAATCTTCAAAAGTCTTCTTTTCTAGTAGATCATTCAAATTATCCTCTCATCAAGAGGAAAGAACCTCAGCATTTATTTGTGGAGGAGAGGCGTTTGTTTCGTTACTGACGGGGGCGCTGAAAATCGCTGATATATCAGCTTATCGTTCCTCTAGTAAATAAGCTGTAGTCATCCGAATTCAAGAGAGTTTCCTACGAAACAACTACTCTAAGTGGTATCGCCGTAACAGGCAGTTGTTGTCGATCAAATCAAGTCTTGCGAGAGCGCTTTCGTGCATGATATTTTAAAGA